GCTTTTAAGTGCAATCTAGAACTTTAGTGAAAATGTTACAATTTTTTTTGTTATTGTGGTTAATTTTTATTTTCCTTGTTCATTTAAACTTTGGAACCCTAACCGTAAACAGCATTTATAGGACCACAGTGCAAAATAATGGCAACTGCCATTAGTTTTCAAGAAATAAGACTTTTTATTCAACTATGACTTTAAAATTTGTAAATGGTCGACTTTGAAAAATCCTACTTTTAATAAAAAATGTACTGAAATATGTTGATAAGTTCCATCAAAAGCTGGCGCATTGAATCATGATTGTAAAATGGTGAAAAATAAAATCCACAAAATCAAAATGGGCTCGCCCGTAGGTCAGCGGTTAAGAGCGACAGGACTTGTTTCAGAGGTCCCGGGTTCGATACCCACTTTGAGCAACCTGTTGTCAGGCAGTAGTGACAACGATTTTTACTTCAAAATATAGATAGCATTATGTTTCCAAGTGAAAATAGCCCTTGTCCGACATTGCTGCACCAATAAAATGTCAGCCCTATTCGATTAATTCTAACAACAAAATTATCAAATATGGATGGATTAACCATTGGGTTACCATCTAAAATAAATACGAAGTAATGAGAAGTTTCAGCCCAACAGCTCATAGGACGTAAGGTTCTGATTGCTGTTAAAAAAATATTAAAAAAAAAAAAAAAAAAAGATTGAAAAATTGAAAAGTCCTACTTTAATAAAAATGTACTGAACTATGTTGGTAAGTTCCATCAAAAGCTGGCGCATTTAAAATTGTATGGAATAAAATCCACAAAATCAAAAAATTGAATAGTAAGCAAACCTCAGATATACATTAATCTTACATTATTAAGCAATGTAAGTAAATAGCATATTCGTAGAATATATTACGTTCCCATTAGAACATCATATATAACTTATGCGTAACATATAACGAAAATTATTCAGAAATGATAAAAATTTTATTCTCCCCGTGCGTAAGCTACGGGCGCTTTACGCCGAATGATTCCATGCGCATGAACGAGAGCATTTCATAGCAATAGAAACCTCTCTACACGAACAACAGGAGATGTAATACACCTTCGCGATCATAGTATACACACCGTGAGTTCAGGTAGAACTGGGTAGAACAGCGCCGGCCTACTCGCGCATCCCCGGCCAATTGTATCGTGAACTGGGCGTAGTAATAGACCGGAGCTTAAAGATACCCCGATTTCCTAGCCAATGCGGCCCGGGCTCCGCGGAATAGGGTAGCGTAGAGCTCGTAGTGTAGGTCTAGCTGTTTCGATGCGCGTTGCGCACTATTTAGTCGCTTTTCACAAGCCGAACAGTAAACACACAACATATTCTCATACAAACTTTGCGAACTAAACAGCTTTCGTAAGGATAAAGCTTTCATGTGCTTTTTGTGTATAGTTAAAATAGTGATTTTAAAACGATAATATTGGATTATATTATATGAACGTGAAATGACTGTTAGTTATAGTGTCGTCAAAAACAACGTAGAAGAATTATAAAACAATCGTTATCTGGAAATGGTTATATTGTAAGTAACACAATTATTTGATTTATATAAATACTATGCACTTTTATAAAAACTTTAAAACTCGTATTAAGGTATCGATAAACCAAATCAATTAATTCATCGTACTAATTTGCAAATTTGTGATTATCTCATACAAGTCTAATAGTATTTTAAACAATTTGAAATCAGTTTTAAAAAATTATATTTTGTTAAAAATTTAAAAAAATATGTAATACATTAAAGTATTAAAGCAGTAATATAAATAATAATAAAGTAGTAATATAAATAATGTAGACGCTTGATTAAACAAACATAAGTTTATGGATGTAATCTCTATAGTAAACATTATTTATTGAATAGTATAAAATAATAAGTAATTACTATTGTATTATTGTATAAATAATTGTATATATATATATATATATATATATATATATATTAGGGTGGTCCTTAATATGGTCATTTTTGAATTTCCTTGCTCCCACGGGCTCAAATGGTTCCAAATTGATAAAAAACAATTCTCTGGAAGTTTTAGCTCTTAATATTAACGTTTAGATAGAGCGCAATTCAATCAAAGTTTGTATGAAAAGAGCATAGAAAAAAATTTGAAAATTAAAAAAAAATGTTTTAGGTATAACTTAGCGACAAATGAATGAGTTTTATTCATTCATTTGTTCGCTAAATTACATCTAAAAAACATTTTTAAAATTTTTGAAAATTTTTCCATGCTTTCTCCATACAAAACTTTGATTGAATTGCGCTCTATCTAAACGTTAATATTAAGAGCTAAAACTTTCAGAGAATTGTTTTTCATCTATTTGGAACCAATTTGAGGTCCTGAGAGCAAAGAAATTCGAAAATGACCATTTTAAGGACCACCCTAATATATATATATATATATATATATATATATATATATATGATCAATTTTTTGGAGGGCGTAATATCAAGTAAAACAAATTGAAGATTCTGTAAAGATTTACAGAAAGTACATGATTACAAAAAATTAAAAATTCTTCGAATTTCTCTACAATTCGTTTTAAAAAATATTATATAAAAATGTGACCACTGACACTGAGTGCTTTATTGCTATTAATAATTACTCACGTGTTAATTGTCATTTTTACGTATAAAAAGAATCAAAACCACTGATGATAACGCATAATCTTGCGTCGAAACGTATGAAACAATAAAGATATTATAAAAATCTTTACTCCAATTTTTTTGCTTGATGTTATGCCCAATCATACATTTCAACATCAATTTTAACTACTCTCAACATATATAATATGTTTTATAAATATAACTATTGAATTAATGGTATTTACTATAAAGATTACACATTAAAGATAAATAAATATATAGTATTTAATTATTTAACCGTTCAAATATCTGGATGATTGTAAACGTATCCAGAACAGTGTGAAAATAATAATTCAACATCATCCACATGCTTGATTTTCATCGAGCAGATTTCCAATTCATAATATACAATATCAAAATAAAATCGTCCAAGTTATTAGCACAAGTTCAAAGTCTGTTACCATCAGACCCACCTGGCGATGTTATTCCTTCAATTTTTCTTGACCGACTGACACACCGTACAAGAAAATACTCAATACTCGTTTTATAAATCAATTCAACCTCCCCCTACGCGAGAGTTCTCGTGAGTATCTTATATGAATTTCAAGAAAACCAGCTTTCTGTAGTACTACCTGTTCATGCAACACGATGCATCGGTGTGTTTAAGATGTAAATAAAGGAAACGCCGTGCGACAAAACTATAAATCGCTGAAGGTGTTCTAATAAATCTCTGAATCGTTGACAAGTGTAGACAAACGGACAAGATAATGGAAATGATCTACTATCAATTAGAAATTTTATTGAGATATGGCTTGGGAGTTTTAGGCAGGGCTGCACTGAATAATTTGGTGCATATGTGTTTAACTTTGATTATTGACGTGTAAATTTTCAAAATTTAATTATATCAATAATGATAAGAAACAAATCTTGTTCGCATATAATAATTTTGACCAGAACAAAGAATACTGCAATATTCTTGTAACATTATCTTTAAGATTTACCTTGAACGTACGACTACTACAAAAACTCGATATGTTTTGAGGCATGAACATAGTTTGGTTGGTTTTACCAATTAAAATTTTTATATAAAAATATAAAATCAGGTGTGTACCAAATTTTGTCCACCCCTGTGTCATTCAATCCGAATAACATATGTATACAAGCATATCAAAAGTGAAGAAAGATAGGTTTCTCTGTGTGGTCGAATGATTATAAAACACATCTATCATGAGCGAAGAAGAGCTTCATCAGATGCACAATAAACCCATTGCAACAAATTATAAACCTATTGTATATGGGATCGATTGAAGATTCAATAGTTACATCAAAGACATAAAACAAGCATTAGATCATTATCTAAATGCGACACACGTATTCAAGAAGAACTATGAGTATTTTGGTGATTATTTGTAATTTATTGTGTTAAAGGGAATACACACATAACGAAGAGAGTTTCTCACAATGTAATTTGATGCTTTACATCAAATTTCTTAGAAACCTCAATATACATAACTATAAATTAGTTAAATAGTTGATATATATATATATATATATATATATATATATATATATATATGTACATCATACATAGATAGTACTGCAGACTGTGAGCTGAGTTAAACTCCAACTCGATTCAGGGAAGAATAGTGTGCTAGATTTCCCATTGCCATTTCACACCGCAATGCTCGAAGTGGGCTATTATCAATTGGAAACATATTTTTGATCTATATTTTAAAGTAAAAATGAAAATCGCAGATGCAGGGTTTAAAATTACACCATGAAACACATAGTTTTTGGAAAAGGCAGGACCAGCCGTTGAAATAGAATAAAAACAGACTTCTATCCAGGGCATGAATTGAGATTTTCCAGAAAAAATATTGTCACTATGACTACAAACCCAAAAAGGATTTAAAATTTGGGTCATTTTCGTAAACGGAATTTCTTGGAATATTTTAAAAATCGTTTAGAAAAGATTCTTAATTTATTATTCACAAATGTCAATCTTACAATAAATGACATGTTTGCTTTTAATATCATCAAAACAAAACATGTTCTTACGTCACACTAATTTGTTGTAGTACGTCACGCAATGAAAATTTAAACTTATCCGCAAGTAATGTATGATGGAAAATTGTATTAGGAGTAAGAAGAAAAAATATCAGAATTTGCTGAGATTAAAAAGAAGAATGAAAAAGAAAAAATGGAATGAAAATAAAAAAGTTGAAAATAATTTAGATATTTGATAGAAAACACCAAAAATTGAAGAAATTAAGAGGAAGAAGAACATGGAATAGAATATATATAGATTGAATATGATATAAAAATTGGTATAGAATGTAAATAAATAAAATATTATGTTCGTTTCAGACATCCCAGCCCCCCGTCGGCGACTTCAATGTCCGCGATCACCAATACCGACCGGCAGCACTTCCAGCATCAAACACAGCTCTACCAGGCTTCTAGTCATGGACCTCACGGTCAGATAAATAATTACCACCAGATCACGCCTGGTTCACCAGCTTCACCCAACTCAAGTAATCACACGCAAACACAAATCGGAAGTTCGCGGACGTCCGCAAGTGGAAACACTGCTGAGTGGGATATTAATGATACAGCTGTACCTAGGTAATTTAAGTAATCGATTTTTAGACGAGTGAAAAATTTGCTGTGTAAATGTACATTCGAGTAAACCAAGGAAATTTAATTTTATAATTGTCGATTAATTTCAACTTATAATTTTCCAGAGTATCGGAGCATGATCAATGGAGCGAATGGGCAGATGGGCATTGTAGACTTGTTTACCCTGCTACGAGTGAAGAAGCCAAAAGGCATGCTAGTGGTTGGGCTATGAGAAATACAAATAATCATAATGTGCATATATTGAAGAAAAGTTGTCTAGGAGTACTCGTCTGTTCGGCGAGGTGTAGGCTAAATAATGGTGATAGAGTTCATCTAAGGCCTGCCATTTGTGATAAAGCAAGAAAAAAGCAACAAGGTAAGTTGTAAAAAACTATATTGCAAATTGTTTATATAACATGTATATCAGTATATATTGTCAACATATATACATCTGATAATTATTCAAGAAATTACATTTATTTCTGTTTATTTGCACATTATTTGTAGTACATTCTAGTACTTTTATAATTTAATGTATGAAGTAGTACTTGAAGATTCAATAAAGGTATTTCTTTAAAATTGTACTATGTTAAGTCAGTAAATTTAAATGTTAAATACAGGATTTAACTTAAGATAGAAAGCAAAATGCTTTATTAAGCATAGCAATTTTGACAAAGTTTGATAGAAACTATCCTTATAGGGATATGCATATCCCGCTTTAATACATATATGTGCTAAATACTTTTGAATAAAATAAAATTAAGTAAGTATAAAATGTCACGTATGACAAGTTTGACTTTATCTAAAATTGCATTGTATTTTAAAATTGTATCTTGTGATAAAGCAAGAAAAAGCAACAAGATAAGTTGTAAAAAACTATATTGCAAATTGTTTATACAACATGTATATCATTAGATATTGTCAACATATATACATCTGATAATTAATCAAGGAATTACATTTATTTCTGTTTATTTGCACATTATTTATAGTACATTCTAGTACTTTTATAATTCAATGTATGAAGTAAGTAGTACTTGAAGATTTAATAAAGGCATTTCTTTAAAATTGTACCATGTTAAGTCATCTTAAAAAGGAACAAAATGAAGTACCAGAGTAGTAAATTTGTTATATAATAATTCAATATGAAGATTATATTGAATACATAATGTTTTAAACATCTGAAATATCTGAACTAAAATCATTCAGATATATAATTTTTTTTTTATTTTATTTTAATTACAATCTTTCACACATTAGGACATTGAGTAATTATAGACATATTCTTATTATATAAATCTTGAACGGCAACCCAATAGTTGTCCAGTCCAGTTATGACTAATTATTATACTCGAAGTATGTACTGACATATTATATGTGCAAATATACCCACGGGAGGCGATTTTCACTTGAGGCTATATTTGAAATCTATGACCTCAAGTTGAAATTTGACATCAAAGTTGCCTGATGTCAGGCTTGGCGGTAGCGGGAATCGATCCGGCGAACCTGGAACTAGTTGTTGCTAGCCCACGCTCTAACCGATATCGCCACAGATACATACATAGTAATTTTTTATACATAAAACAGTATTGCAAATAAATTATTGCATCTACTTTGCAAATTTAAATGTTAATCACAGAATTTAACCTAAGATAGGAAGCAAAATGCTTTATTAAGCATAGCAATTTTGACAAAGTTTGATAGAAACTATCCTTATATGTGCTAAATACTTTTGAATAAAATGAAATTCAAAAAGTATAAAATGTAACGTATGACAAGTTTTAAGTCACAAATTTATCTAAAATTGTATTTTATTATAAAAATGTATCTTCTTCAGGTAAACCATGCCCAAATAGGCAATGCAATGGTGGTCGTTTGGAAATCCAACCATGCCGGGGGCACTGTGGATACCCGGTGACGCACTTCTGGCGACACACGGAGCATGCAATTTTTTTCCAAGCTAAAGGAGTCCATGATCACCCAAGGCCAGAGGCCAAGAGCACCAGTGAGGCTAGAAGAAGCTTGGGGGCAGGCAGAAGAGTTCGAGGATTGGCCGTGCTTCTGGCAAGAGAAGCAGCTCTTGGTACAAAGGTGAGATGCAGGATTACTAGAATATATATTGTAAATATATTAATATTTGTTGAAAATCGATCGATTTTCATTTTGATTTGTTTGAAGGCATTTTTAAAATCATTTAAGAAATGCTGATTATAGATATCAGTTTAACAGAACTCAAACGTATTATTCTGAAAAACCAAACATTTCTTGTAAATCTATCGATTTTATTTTGATTTGTTTGGAGGCATGTTTAAAAAGATTTAAGAAATGCCGATTATAGCTATCAGTTTAACAGAACTCAAACGTATTATTCTGAATCTTTCAAATTGCAATGACAAGTTGCAATTTAACATCTATAGAAATTGAAAATTAACTTAAAATATTAAAAATCCTGAATATAAGGATAAAGTGCTTGCACCTTGAAAATATTTTTTTATAATATGTTTGAGCAACGTAAACAAATCATCTGGTATAATATAAAGTTTGTCACATATTATAAATGCAAAAAACTACATTGGTATATTACTCGATTTGGTATATGGTATATTATATTTATTGCAAATAAATGCAACATATATACTCTGCTGTTATGTTCAGAAGATCGAGTAAAATACACAAAGCTGACATTACGTGGCGTAACTATACTATCTGGGGCCTCTGGGAAATTCTCCTAATGAGGCCCATGGAAAACTTTTGATAGGGCACTATCAGTAAAAATCTTCACTGTAATCGGTTTAATTTTACTCAATTACATAAAATCTTTTTACCGGAACGCTAAATTCAAAATAACAGTTACAAGAACCGGTTTACGTAAGTGTTTCGGTTTCGTTAGAGTTCCAGTTCAGCAGAAAAAAATGTTCCGGAAGCCGGTTCGTTCCAGTTTTTGCTTCGGTTTAAGTTCGGTTCAAACCCTCGTTCATAATTATACACATAAAAAATTAAGTAAAAAATTAGAAAAAAACGGCCTTATCTTTTTTCAATAAGTCAGCCAATTCTTATCAGAAATCATCTTCAGTTCCGGCCGCGTTCCTAAGCTAGAGTACTTTTAACAACAAATGATTACTTGAATGTAATCGTAATGAAGTAAAATAATCTAAGTCAAGAAATTTGCGCAAATCAGAATAAATAGTTAGTTGCACTACTGACTGGAAACATGTTCATCGAGTATATCATATACTTTTATTCAAGATATATGTCAAAACTGACATGTTATTATTTACAAATTACGCCATATTGAATGTGATTGACAGGTAGCTATCGTGAAATCAAAGAAAGTAAAATCTACATAATGTCAGGACTCATAAAAACAACTATCATAAAAAATTAAAATTACACTAATATGCTGTTATGTATTCAATGAGGTAGCATTTAAATTTAATCAAAACTAACAAAGATTTTTATACTTTCAGTTAATGTCATTACGATCGTCGAGACGACAAAAGGATTATTCCATCAATTCTACTCCACAGCCCCCGCCGCTTATAGCTGATAGCGATAAAGGTAAATAATAATAAGTGTCACTTACCGTTTTTGTAAATTTTGCACCACCGTTACACAATACAAATTATATTTACTAAACACTTTTCACGTAACTCTCTTGACTGAACGTCTTTCTAATAATAAAGCTATAACTACAATGAACAACGCAACGCGATTGCAAATTCCATGCGGAAGCAGTGTTGCCACCTGTAAATAATTTAATATATTAAAAAAGTGTTGCCTATAGTAAAGTAATTTCCCTAAATTAAAATATGATAAGGCTTATCGTAAGCATATTACACACAAAATGAATATGATTTTATTTTCATTTTTGAATCTATATTATTTTTGAAAAAAAATAATATTTATGTTGTACTTAGATCTGTTAACCAAGCATTTTAAAAATTATATAATAGAATATTAAATTTCAAGCTATACAACTTCTTCACCTCATTTTGGCAACTTTTTTAAATTGATCTAATGAAATTTTTTGTATTTGAGTTAATCTCAAATTAAGTATGTAATATATAATTATATAATTATATATTACAATTACAATTAGCTCGTCGCATATTATATACAATTATGATAAGGCATATTATATACAATTAAAGTGCGATTTTATTTTCAGTTTCGAATTTATATTATTTTTTAAATAAATTAATATTTATTTTGTACTTAGATCTAACCAAGCATTCCAAAAAATTATATCATAGACTATTAAATTTTAAGCTATACAACTTCTTCACCTCATTTTGGCAACTTTTTTTATAATGCATGAGTTAGATTGAACTCAAATTAAGTATGTAATATATAATTTGCACGTAGTAGAGAGTTTTTCTTTTAATTATATGGCTAATTTCTTTCGTATTTTCAGGTTTCAACTGCTCCTGCCCTCCGTTTGAATGTTTGTGCAATAAATTCCAAGTACATAATGAACAGTTCTTAAATCCTCAAATATGCGAATCCAATGAAATTCAGGTTTCAAATGCTGGCAACGTAGATTATACTTGGCCTCAGAACCATCAAAACTTGCAATTTATGAGTGGGCAACCAAATACCGATAATTCTTATAATGTACAAACCACAGACCAATCAAATTATGATTTTATACCCTTTACAACCGATCTATTTCAACCAGAAGAAATATTTCAGTTAGATCAACCTTTACGAAATGAATTTTCTCAAGTACCCCAGCATAATAACTTAATTTTGTCTGCCTCTAGTCCGACCACACTTTTAGACCTAGGAAGTGGAACAATTCACAAAGGGAATTTGAAAACTGAAAGTTTCTGGCACAAACAAGAGATAAACCTAGAAAATTCAATGCTGACAAATGATGATAGTAATAATAGTAGTTTCTCTAGTCATTACAATGCTACATCCGAAAAATATATAAACACGAATAATAACATTAACATACAAACAAATTTAAATTATTCTGATAATACAGCCTGTGATCTCGATAAACTCCAATTTTCAAATAATATGGTCATGTTCCAGTCCAAAGATAATGATAATTATTTTACACAAATATTAGATGGTAGTTGTTCAAAAAATAGTTTGTCTTCTCCTGAGACTGTAGTTTATTATAATAATGAATTTAAACAATATCAATGTGATGTAAATATAGGAAATGATGAAAATATTCACTCAAAACAAAGGCAGAATGAAAGTGATTACTATCTTCGCGATAAAGCTCCACCATATTGTAATATGTTTCAAAGTGACTCAACTACAATAACATCTAATAACGCTTCAAATATAAATAATACAGCAAACTATGCACAATATGGAATTTGCTTACAAAATAGCATCGATTCTTCAGATCTTGTAAATTATGAAAACTTAGATTACAATAAATCATATAATGTACACAATGATTCTATGTACCATATGCAACACAGTTTTTCTCAAACATATATACCTGTCACTGCTAGTAATTAAGTTTGTAAATATGTAAATAAAGTATTGTATATTTTTTACATTTTTATTTCTTTTGATTGTTTAATTCAATATATATGTATATTTATAAAAAGTATTCAAAACACTATATCCAAGCATTTATCAACGTAGAAGCAGAACAAATTCACTACAACATGTAGATTTTTAAGGGACAAATAGCACCATAACATATGTCGCAAATCATTGGTATATATGATTAACTATGTTAACTTTGTCATACAAAGGATCGCTTCTATAGATTTCATATCTTAAATATTATCAACGCATGCAAATATAAATAAGTGATTAAATTAATCAAGAAGTTCACATAGATTTTGTTTAACATGATACACATGCAACTATTTTCTCAAACAAAATTCATATTTACTATTTACAAGAAAAAACTTATATAAATATGTTGTACAAATATTCACAAATTTAACAAGATATGGCATGTGGTTCTATTCTAGCGCACAATTAATTGTGCAATTAACAAGGTCAGTAAACAATACAGGCATTCATATCTTATTCCTTTCGATATTAAAAATAATGGCGAACAAGTTATTATTGAAACTTCAAAGACTTATAGAGTACATATTATGCAATACATCATGCAATCAATGATGGACTTCCATGCCGGATATAAAGCTAGAAGGCCTTAATAATTTAATTTTTATCAAATTAAACTTACATGTAAATAATTATAAATATTAGTATAAAAAATAATTTGTATGCTTATTAGTAATATTCAGATAAGTTACTATTCCGAGATAGCCTCTAATGAGATCTCAAAATATCATGTTGCTGAAAAATCCATCACTGTTTATGCCACTAACCATGTTCAATTTGCAAGGACCCATTTTTATTGAAATTTTAAAATATAGACAAAATTCTCTCCATTTTCTTAACACAGCCTTCAAAATAATATAATTTGTAAGTAGAAATATTGTTCTTTTTTTAAATATTAATGGTGAACAAAAATATTACATTTACATAGACATCGATACATTTACTAATATTACATGATTTCATTATGGAGACTCCACTTAGAAGAGCTAGCAACATTGTCATATATATATATATATATATATATATATATATATATATATATATATATGCAATATGTTGATGTGTCCTATAGTTTCTAATCAGTCGTTTGCAGCTCTTCCATTTTCACTAAATTTTACATGAATATCGGAGACCATATATCAATCAACGCTTACACAATTCACTGGTTTATGACAAATAAATATAAAAAGACTATCAGAGATAATACCTTATGTCACTAATCTTTCTTGAAATCATTTGATTAATATAGGCCATAATGATAATTATAGAAGTTAAAGTATTGTATATGTTTATATATTTTTATACTCATATAAAGCTGTAGAAATTACATAATATATAAAAATAATGAAAAACTTTCCAAAAATAACACTATCTCTCCAAAATTAATTAAGCACACTCTTTCTTTTTGTGCATATCACAATGTTGTTTAATATTATTTTTTTGAAAAAATTTAAATACATATGAAATCTGTATAAAGAGTTAACAAAATATTGACATATTTAGGCACAATTTTCCCTATCTGATAATGTACAATAAAATTTTGAAAATCTTTATGATATTGCATTCTCGCAAGATTATCAAAATAATAATTGCCAAAAAAATGCAAACAACTTATCTTGTTTCGAAAAATCTTTTTTTTTTAGCCCCAGTTAAAAATATTGAAATTCTATGACAGATTGGTCTTTTTTAATTATTCAAATATTACACATAACATTCTCACTTTCAAAATGTTATTAGCTTATATCAGTAACTACATTAACATACACGCATATCACATTTAGTATTTACAAGGAACTGAAAATGACTTTTTGTTGAACAATAAAAATGTTTCTCAATATTATTCAGATTTAGATTAATGTCTTTTCAAAAAGTTTAGACTAAATATCAATTGTGTAAAAGTGTAAATCAATGGGTTTCGAACGACTTCAATATTTGTGATTTTGCTAAATACTAAGCTAGTATGTAGTAAAGGACCTTTTTTATAATGTACATTTTAAAAAAACTTAAAAATTATGATAAAATGTGATATAAAATTGTCCAATAAATAGGTCAAAACAAAATTTGTCACAAAGATATTTTGATCTTGCATGTATTAATAAAGATAAAGAATTAATATTTTAAACTGTATTTTTATTATAATAGAAGATAATAATAAAAGATGGCGGAATAAAATGATTTAATTTTTAATTGTACATATAATTTAAAAAAAAAAAAGTTTGGTAGAGTCTAAATGATAATGGTATTTTTCTTTGTGATGTAAAGCAAAGTTCTAACTTAAAACTATCTTAGGATTTGAATATAATTTGATAAAATACGAGATATTACATAAAAATCATACTAAATAAAAATTCAATATCGAAAACAATATATTAATCAAAATATCTTTGTGTAACTGAGAAGATCAAACAAAGTTTGGTTCAATATCCAAAACCAAATTAAAATATATCTGAATATCCGGTCTTTATCCAGATTGAAAAATGAAATAATTAATTTAGAAAAAGTAAAAACTATTTAATAGCCTTCCTGTCTATACTATCTTAAACCTATAAGAATAATATATCATATAATAATCACAAAAGCGAATGTCAATGCAATAAACTAACAGACCTTTTTTTTATTATACATAGCTGCAATACTTCTCTCAGTGTGCAGCTGAGTCATCAAATGAACAACTGGGTCGAATTTCAGCAGAGTCCACTTCAGCTTTTTGAGAACTTTCTGAAGTGTCTTGTTTATCAAAAGTTAAAAGATCATTTCCTTTTGAAGAATCCTGAACTAATGCAGTTTGGGTTTCAACATTAACACCAGCTGTAGTAGTCTGTTTAGAGCAACTCTCAGAAGAACCTGAAGGTGATGTTGCATAACTTCTAGACTCTATAATGTAAAATCTTTATGATGCTTTTGAACCACAATATTATAATAGAATCCAGTTAAGTATCTATAGTATGGATGTAAATTTTTTACCTTTTTTACTGTGATGTGGTGAGTGATAGCAGCACGAGCGACTCAGATGTTGATCACACTTGCTTGATATTGGCTTTACCTTCACCCGATAAAATCTAGTCCCTTTAGGCACTTTATAACGGTTTTCATCCTAATAGCCATGACAAAATGTTAATTATCAGATTCAATACAAGCAAAAAGTACATTTAAAAATACACACTTTCTTAGCATGGCAATATTCTTTATCTTCCACTTCTCCAGTGCAATAGTCCTTTTTCGGTGTACCATCTGAAGCAGGTTTTAAATTCAGTGCATTGATGCTATCCGAATGTAAGAAATACATAGTAGAAGACTCCTAAAATGTATATATTGATCACTTAAATAATTGTTGTTTAAATGTTTAAATATGTTAGGTAAAATTTTATATTTTGCACTATCATATGTCATAAATAATTATAGCCTATTTCTTTATTATATTTTACAACAATAAATATATTTTCTTATATTTCACCTGTAATATTGTATAACAGCCATGTTGTGAGTTCCAAACAATCAGCACATGATCACCAATTGAACAAGAAGCTATATTTATGCGACCTGATTGAACTAAAGAAGTTTGACTTGACGTAAGAGGTTTATGTTTAGAACTTCTTACAACTGGTGATGTAGCAACATCTTTTGTAGACGCCTCCCTAAAAAATATGATAAGCAGAACAAGTGATTAATTAACTGATTTCATCAATGGTTTTTTTATTATTTTATAATTTTTGACAATGAAATTGATCATTTTGTTGTTTACAATATCCTGCTTAGAAATTCTCATATAACTTAAAAAAAATTTAATTGTAAAATAAGCAATTCGAAAGTCTCCTTCAAGAATTAGTTCTGGTTTTGAAATACAATTTAAGAATGTGTTTGCATGCAATACAAGTTAAGAAGTGTTGCATGCAATATGCTTATTGAAAACTTTAACATTTTTTATAATCATTCTGAATTTTTTGATTTTTTAAGGGACAGAACATAGAATCCTCTCGAACATTAATTAGTCCCATTATATTTGCAGAGGATGTACAATATGTAAAATATTTATATATTTATTTGCAATAATATATATGTATTATATAAAATAATTTTTTACAAAAGGATATAAGCCATGTCATAGTAATCATTATGTACTAATAACTTAAATAAGTACTTACACTGACATGACGGCCACTGAAGCATTTAAATCCAAAACATTTGGACGCTTTGCTTTGTCAAATAGTTCCATGTTACAAACTTCTCTAATGTCTTCACTGGCTGATACAAATACCGAACCAACAGTGCTTTCAGCTAATTTTTGTATAGTTTCTTTGTACTTCAAACATTCTTTTTCTAACAAAACTTCACGTTCCCTGAATTCATCAATCTGCTTTTCTTTTTCTTTTAATAATTGTACTACGTCAATATCTACATTTTCAGTATTCAAGGATTCAAAAGGAATATTTCTACTTCCTTGAGTTGCAAATTTGGCTTCCCAAGTAAGTCTTTCTTTCTCAATGGCTTCTTGTATTGCTTTTTCCTTCTCTAAAAGCATATCTTCTTTTGTTTGAAGCAAAATAGCTTCATGATTTGCGATTTCTATCATATCCGTCCTTTCTATTTTTTCTAAACTGGTGTCAGAAGGTGATCTCTCCATATTTGTAAAGGTCATCAAACGAAAACGACACCTTAAGCTTTCCATTTCAGTTTTATAATCATGAATTAATTTTTCTTGCATTTCTTTCAAAGCTTGTTGCTTAATATTTTCTGCTTCAGATAACATATGATTTAATTTCTCTATTTCAGTTTTCAAATCACTGATAGTTTTAACTAATGAATCTTTTTCTCTTGTATGGTCCAAAACACTTTGCATCATTTGCACATCCAAAGCTGCACGTTCATTTTTAAGAGACATAATTTCTTCATCCTTATTTATCACAATGTTTTTGATATCATTTTGTTCTAGTTCATGATCTACTGTAAGTCTTTGAATTTTTTCTCTTTCACTAAGATCCACACTGGTTTTATAATCCTGCCATGTATTTAATAAGGTATCATATTGCACTTGAAAGGTTTTACGTTCGTCTTCTATTTCAGATTTCATTAGGGACAATTGATAGCGCAACTGAGTTAAAGAGTCACTACTTAAACAAGATAAGTTCTGCAGCAATTGCTTAATATTACTGACTTCCACCGCTGTTGTGCTAAGATTTTCCTAAAAGATACATCATGAGTGAAAATTGGGAAAACTACATTCATTTCAATGGAACGAAAGGCACAAAGGCAAACTACATTAAAATTTAATATAATATAATTTAATATATAAAGTACGGAAACATATCTGAAATCCAAAATAGAAATACAAAAATTAAAAATATCCTCAAAAATGATTATATTGAACATTATTTATTGAACGAAAAATGATTTATATCCATATGCAGTTGAATTTATTAGAGAATGATATTGCATTTTAGCTTTGGCAGTACCTAAAATTTATCAATATTTATATCAACGGGATTTTTTTCAAAATTTGTTTAGGAAATACAAATAGAAGGTTATACAAAAATGTAGCTATCTCAAATTATTCTGAAGCAAAATTAATTATTTTGAAAGCCTATAAACCTAAGTTTACAAAAGATAACATGAAATAAAAAATAGCAATTTCAAGATCAATTTAACGAATAATTTCTACAGTACAAATGATAAGAAAAATGAATTAAAAATACAAACTGATATGATATGAAATAATGAAAATAAGTGAATAAAAAGGAAATGGTGATTTTAATGATAATTTGTATGTATGAAAAATCACTTATAAACTATTTTTATTATGAGTATGTGGCACAGGAACCATACATGGATTTCTGGGAAAGACCACCATTTCATTTTTAATATAATTATGCTAAAAATTAAAAAAAACCTTAAGAAAAATCATATCGATGAAAATAAATGTTGGCGTGACAGATTTACTGCTGATTTTTGTACAGCCTCAAATTTTGTTTAAATAATTCACATATGTATACGATCTGCAAGTAATTTTCATCCTATCGCTCAAGTATATTTTTATAATCAAAGAACACATAAGTTTCAAATACACTATAATTAAAGCATATATTTATTGTGAATTTTGTCATGGTATTCCATTTACTCTCATTGGAAGATGCAACTTTCAATAAATAAGTTACAGATTGTTTTAAAATATACATATAAAATTTCATTATAAAATTTGAAGACGTACAAAAATTTAAGTTGGTAGCTCTATCATGCTAATGTGAGAACAAATACATTTGAATTTTGATCTTAATCAGATGTACCTGAACAAGTTTAATATGCGTTTTAGAATCACTTAGCAGCTGCTTGATCATTTCAGCATTTTTAAATTCACAATTTAATTCCTTTATATCACCAGAAGTAATTTCATAATGCTCATACACAGGACTCACTGGTATTGATTCATCGATATAAAACTCAGTCGTCACAAATTCTGTATTTTCATTTTGATAATGGTGGTCATGAGGGGTTAAAGGGGAATCAGGACTGAAACTCAGAAATAAAATCTCCTTCTGTGGAGAATTATCTATTTCCGGAATGGAAGGCAATAGTGATGAATTTGATGAATTGGAAGAATCAGATCTTGAATATGATCTTAACCGAGATGGTCTTTTAGGAGAAATTGAAAGTTTAATCTTATTGTTAAGTATTGTGTTGTTAATTAGTGGTTTCTGGCTCTCAGTATTACTATCAGTAGATTTTTTATCTCTAGAACAAACCTCTGTCAAAGTTGAGTTTTCTGCTGTAAGTCTCGAGTTATCAATAGATGTGCTGGCATGTTTTTGGGATATTTGACAGTCAATAGGACTTTGGCCAACCTTTTCAAATTCTTCAGTATCAGTTTCTGATTCAAAACCCCTGTGAAAACAAATATAAAAATATATTTTTTAATTTATTTCAAATAAAATATTTCTTATTAAAATATTAAATCATACCGTTCAAAATCTTTGAGATGCTGATGTTGTGCATATGTTGTGAGAAATCCTACAGTCTGTTCTGTAATATTTTCTGGAGTACAAATCAAATTAGTGCTTAATCCTGCTGCATCTGCTACAGTCGCTAATCTTTCTTCAACAGTTCCAGATTTATCTTGCGATTTTGCAGTGCCAGATCTTTAAAAAATGTAATGATTGTCACAAAGGACAAAATAATATGAATTGCTAATATCTTGAATCATTAATTTTTACATAAAAATATTGATCAGATTATTTGGTATATTTTTTGTATTCCATATTTAAACATATTGTTTTAATTTTAATTTCAGTGCAATATTTACCTGGCTAAAAAGAAATTGAGAACTGAAGTTAAATCAGGTAAAGAACTCTCTAGTACTAAATCGGGGTGCAATGTTCCAAGATGTTGAACATCAGCTTGAGTAATTTTTGGCAAACCCGTGTCAAATATAGAAGGTGCTCTTGTGGCAAATGACGGTGGTAAATCTTCCATTCCAGGAAATAAGGCATTGAGAAAATGACCTTCAAACATGGTTGAAAATTCTTGTCTCCTCATCACTTCTTCATTATGTATGGTCAATAAATGGCAGGCGAGATCAGAAGCCCACTAAATGTGGTAAATAAATTGTGTTATTATAGCTAATATGATAGGTTTTAGTAAATATTAGTTAGAATAAAATATACATCTATTTGTCATTTGAAAATTAATCTAACTTAAGTAATTTAATAAACCCACCACTAGAAAGGCCTGAGAAAATGTACGCCTTCGAACAACCTCGTTAATAGCTTGCATATACATACTGGGAGCTTGATGAATTTGTTCAACTATACTCAAGTGCCTTTGTAATCTATTTAATGATCTATGGTAAAACATGAGTCGGTTGTCAGCTTCGAACATCCGATTTTCAACATAAACAATCCATCTGAGAAAGAATCAATATTTATACATTTTATCATCAATTTTTATACAATCAGATAGTTTTATAGATTTTAAATATTACAAAATTGCCCAATCTTGTTCAAGATGTTATTCATATTCCATGTAGATAGTGGATAATTGTTCATAAATAAAAAAATATTCAAAACCATTACTAACTTTAATCTATGGTATAAATTTAAGCCAAGTTCTTCTTTTGCCTTGGTACATCGCCTTCTAATATCTCTCAATTGTTGATGGTTCGATAGCATTACTTTTAATTGTCTCTGATGTGACATACACAAATCGGGCAAGATTGAAGTATCACCTAAATGACTTGCTCTATTTTGATTCTGAAATATATTTTCTATCAATAAGGTCTCTAATTATAAAGAAAAATGTTGTATGTTAAAAACGTTATAAATACAAATATCCCCAAAAATATAATATTGAGATGTATGTGGTGAAAAAATAATACAACTCACAGCTAAAAATGCTTGCGCTAATTCTCTCTGTTCTTGCACACATCGTTTTGTTTCTTGCATTAGTTGTTCTAAACCAAACAAACGATCACCTAAGCCTTTAATTTCTCTCATACCTGGCTGATGTGCTTTATCTACTGCATTTTTGCACTCAACTCTGTAGAAGAAGTATATATAATGCAAATAGTATAAAGAATATAATTATTAAATTAATATACTACGAAGAAACTAAAATTCCTAAATAATATAATAAGTCATAACTGAAAATTTTAGTTATGACTCATACAAAGTATTACCTCATAGAATTTAGAATCTCATCATCAAAAAGATCTAAACCCTTAGTGCATTGAATTGCAATTCGTTCCAAAGATTTTTGGTTTTCTTTAGCAGCTATCCAATGAAGTAACGTTACAGCTTCTTTAGTTTTTTGTTGATCCTCCTTGGAAGAAAACATAATAAATAAAAGTAATTTTATAAATTCCTTCTTGCAGATACAATTTTTAATTCATACAAATTTCTAAAAACTTACTTGCAAAACTTCCTGTCTCTCCTCACTAATATTTTCATCATCTTTAGAAATATCTTGCTCAGCATCATGAGTTGCATCTTGTTCAGGGCTACTGAACGATTCTTTATCAGCAAGTACTTCATCAAATGCTGTGAAGGGTTCTTTACAATTAACAGCTAGCGCAGGTAATATTGGTATTCGTGATAAGGTATCCAGATCATTTCGAAAGCTGAAAAATGATTACAATTTTTCGATTATGATAGAAATAAACCTCTTACTATAAATAGCTAAAAATTTATTCAATATCTACAAACATTATTTTAATAAAATGCTAAAAATGTGAATAATTGATATAAAATAATATGTATACTTACTGTGACAAGAATTTTAAATAGGTTTCCCTTTTCTCCAAATGTTCTGCAAAATTTTTATTAAAATTAGCTGCACGTTCCGTGAATTCTTCTGTAATATCTTCCATATTAGCAACAACAGCGGCCCAGCCTTGTTGTTGCAAATGTTGATCATGAACTAATTTTTGACATACTCTTTCCTGCTCTCTAGCCAATTCATAAAAGCGCTGAGCTAACTGTACCCGCGTGACAACAGTGCTGTATGTTGGCGGAAGAGACATGCAAGATTCTACTTCCTCACTAAGATCACGATCTGCAATAAAAATATAGAATTGTATTAGTAATATTTAATTACTACATAAGTACATATTAAAATTACTACCTTGCCCATAATCAACACTTGGTTCCGGTGGTATTGTATCATCTATGATAGAAGTACTAAACATATATATAGGATTAGTGTCAGTGCCAGCCGAATAGCTGCAAACACGATTGTTGTCGATCAAGACTTCTCCACCACTAACCAAAAGCACTTGAGTATTTTGTGGAATATTGCACGTTTTTTGTATCATTTCTTTTAGAAGAGACACACTATAAAAAAAATAGAAAGCTGGGTATTTGAAATATGAATAGACATGCAAATGAAGAATTTGTATACATAATTTTTATGCAAAAGACTTTATTTTGCACTCTTTATTTTTCAAGAGATAAATGACAAAGCAAGACTTAAATATTTATATCAGCAAAATAGGACTTATTTACCTCTCTAATGCCAAATTCATATCAAAGGTCATCATCCGACCGGTATCTACATGGAATATGTATAACATCTTGAAGTTGATGATGTTCTTAGAATAAATAAGAACGGAAGTTATTATATTCCTCCTAGGCTTTACTCGGAAGAGAGAAGCCTAGTTGACCCAAAAATCAGCAGTTATAACAAAAAAAATACTGTCGAAACACCTTCCCAACTTCCGACATTAAAATGGTATGTAGGAACATGGAGTCAAAATTATATGCAGAAACAAAATTTAAATTCAAGTTTGGGTATGTAGAGGTTAAGACTCGATAGTAAAGAATCTGCAATAAAGTACAAAATAATGTAAAAAAAATGTTTTCGATAATTAATGAATTACTAAACTCTTATTATACAATCACTTGAGAAATTATAACATTTTGATGCATTTATTAGGAATCAAAACATTCATCCTAAAAGAAAGGTGCAATAATCTATATAACAAATATAAATTATGCAAGAATATATAATAAAATACATTTACAGTCATATGGGTGTCAGATATAAATTACATATGCAAGGTTCTCATATAACCCCAAGGCCATTATTAGTCAATTTTGAGTTTCAGTGAAAGAATTTAAATTGATTATATGATAAACTTACTTTACATAAGAATTCATTGTACGACCAAAATCGTAATAATTGCACTTGTTTCACAAAATATTATTCCAATAGTGATTATTCATTGTCAAGAAAAATGACGTGCAAACAACACTTCTTTATGTCAAAAGTCAGTCACCTATTAAACGTGTTGTATTAGATATTTCAGAGATGCAAACGAAATCATATGTAAGCATTTAATTATGCATTCTTGAACTAAATATGCATGCAGTGAAACTGTTTTCAAACAATGATCAATAATATACCGTGAGCAATATTTGCTCAAGCATTTGCGCAATATTTGCGTGCATTGTTTAACGACCGAGTGTTTTGTACAAGATTTTAGTAAAGCTGACTGGTGTTTAAACTCACCTAAAACACTAAAAATTAAAAATACAATATATTAGAAAAAATATAACAGCGTGAATTTCACTAAATGGCATCTTGTATCAGCTGGTCTTTGTTTATAGTGAATGACGTTTAGATAGTGTTGTTTTGCGAAGATGTCACCACTAAAGCAATATCGACATTTGTAGAGCGTAGAGAGACCGTCTTACGTTGGTACTGCCTCATGGCATTTTGCACCATTCGAAATATAAACGAAATATTATTTTAATTACCCTTTTTCTGTACAGAAGTAAATATATCTCAAGACCTCAATACATCACAACTGTGCCATCACTAATACTATATACACTACTATGAAACACGTGGTCATTTGGAATCAAATCATATTTTTTTGCGAATTGAATAAAAACTTAAAAGTAAACCATCTTACTTCAAAATAAATGTATTTATGCGTTTGTCCATCAATGAGATACGTAATTTAGAGTGTGTAGACCACAGTCGAGAAACACGTGTAGTCGACTACATTATGCGCAATTTAAAATATGCTCATATACAAATACGAAAACAACAAAGTTTTAGTAACAACAAACTTTAAGGAATTTAAAATTTCCATGATATTTTAATTAAATGTTGTTTATGTTTATAACACGTATATGCTACTCTAAAATGATTCTAGATATGCATGCTTACAGTAGACAAGTGTGAAGTAATTAACTAATTCATGTTTTTTCCTTAATTAAGTGAAACAACTTCATTGCTATTTTTTCTACTATTTTTTTTTAAATAACAGTGAATTTTTGACACTTGAAGAAGGAAAATAACAAGCATTTTTATATTTTTTTAACCAAAATAAAATAATCCGAAAAAATAATGTCGAATTCTTTAGATAATCAAATAGATGTTCTTGAGAACGAACTGCAGATCACTCAAATAGTCTCCGAATTAGATTTGAAAAGGGTAATAAATTTATTTTTATTAACATCATAACCTACAATTAAAATTTATCCTAAATGTGAAGCGATCCTTATTCACAGAAAATATTAGATGACACAAAGAAAGCTCTACGAGAAGCTCAAACCAATCGACACGATTTAGAACAAGAACTAGAAATTGAAAAACATCGAACTGCTGATTATAGGACAAAGTTGGAGTTGGCATTGGCAACCCTGAGGCGATGTGAGCAGGAAGGAGCAGAAGCCACCGGAAAGGAAGCCATGCTTGAATGCGTTGTAAGGAGAATATAAGAAGCCAATTTTAATAGACGTTAACATAACATTGTTATGGCAACGCTATCTTATTCTTTTTTGGTACTAAAAGCTGTGAAAAGATCTATATACTATGCGATAGGTACAAACGAACCTAGAAAAAATGGTATCATAACTGCCTCTTTGTGATGCGCATTTATAACACACGGTTTTGGGTGTAAAACGCCTGATAGTATAACAACTGGCTAGAATTTTCACATTTTTAGTACTAAGAAAGATACTAATAACAACGCTATGTTGTCGTCTATTTTACCGCAGAATTGGCCATTAAATGTATTCATATAATAAATCAAATTTGTTGTTGCATACTGCTTCCAAACCCTGTCTAATATATCATTTTGCCATATTTACATTAATTTTTGATACATCTATAAGCATCAAAAATTAATCTTAGATCATTATTATTATTAGCATAAACTATGTTTATAATTATGAACAATATCTACACGCGAGGCCGATAATGAATACATTTAGATAACAAACACAATGTTCATACGTGATTTATTCATGCATTTATTTATTTATGTACATATGTGATTATATACTTGACAAGACAAAAGAGCGCGATGCATTTAAAAAAAGATTGAGAGAAGTTCAGCAAAGGAATGACGAACTTGAAAGTCAATTGGAAGAAATGCGAAATAAAAATAACAGCAATGATATCCGAAGGAGAGGACTTTATGAACAAATCGAGCAGTTTAAACTGAAAGAAAATTCCGTTAATCAGTAAGTAAAGTCTGCGGCTAAAAATATATAGCGGTAAAAGAGCAACAATTAGTCATTATTGTATTAGATGTACAGTATGAATTGGTGATGTGAATGATATATTAAACATAAAATAAACTCAATTTAATCATTCACTTACTAACCAATTAGATAGTCAATTATTGTAGTATCGATTCTATTACTGTAGAATCGATGATCATGATGTAGGAATACCGTAATTACTTACTTCTTCATTATTAAGTAAAGTTATTCTTCTTAATTATTTCATTTTAAATGTATTTTAAGAAATGGAAATTTATGGTTTTATAGAGACATTAGTAATACTTTTAGCTTATAACCACTCACTGTTGTATAAATATGCTAAACTCTGTTATTTCTTTCCTATAACTGAAAATTAAATGTTGGTAGAGTAGTTCCCAGGCGTGTTTCTGCTCTATAGACCACATATATATATATATATATATATATATATAATATAATGTATATGAATTTGTTTTGAATTTTTAAAAGGGTTATTGCCATCCTCCCCACTCCAAAATTTAATTATAATTTTATATTCTATCAATATTTAAATGTTTTTTTTTTTCATAATTTAATCTAATAAGCACGCGGAAAACATGATATCAAATCTACACCGTATCAGTATCTCAGATCTGAATTCAAGGTATTTGTCTAGACCGAATGTCTATAACGTGCTAAAATATTATAAACAAAATATACAATTACATACATATTTGATTAATAGATACACTCATAAATATATATATATACATAATAAGATATATATACAACACATATATAAGATATATATATATATATCTATTATAGTGTTCCTTCATATTATATTATAAATCAAGGTTTTATATAATAGAAAATAACGATATCACAATAAAACTTTTTTTAATTGAGTGAATCGATTATATAAAACCATTGGTGGCACAAAAAGATAGAGATGAGACAAGAGTATCTACCTTTGAGACTAATATTTCCAGCATTGCAATCCTGTCTTTGTTCAAAACAGAAATATCTTCATTTTTTGCATCTTCATTTTCTAAATACAGTTATTCTTTTCCATTATTTTTAAATATTAGCATGATCTTGCTAGATGACTTGATAATGGAATGTACATAGTCTCCAAAGCATCATAATTAAATTATGTATTAAAAAAATAACAATTTGTTTCTTATTTGGATCTCTTATTTGGGCACACTTATTGTTAATTTAATTTTACATTCTAATAAATAAATTATTAGATAGGTTCAAATATTAGATTAGGCGGATCTCAGTCATTAACGATAAGAAATCTTATCAATTATTTACAAATGTCGCAAACTATGATGAACTTTGCTCATTTATTCGTCATGTGCACTAAAAGAAATTATCATTGAGTTAAACAAATAAAATGTATTTAAGCTTGGCTATTATAGATGTTATACAATTTTAACACAGGTATATCCAAGATCATCGGGCCGATGAAGCACAGTTTAAAAAAGATCTTATGGCTTCTAAAAGAATGGCATTTTTTTACAAAATACAATAAAATACTATAAAGAACTCAATGAAAAATATATGACAGAGAAACAGAATTATATTAAAGAAATCACTAAATATGCAGGTAGCAAACTTATTCGTAAATTGCGTATGCTTTGTAGTATTTTTGGTTTCTATATAAAATTATATATATATATATATATATATTTAATTTATTTAAATAAACTTATCTATTACATCAGGTCAGTAAAGTCACTACAGGTGCAAAACATGAATGATTCGAAAGACTTCGTCGCAGATGATGATGCAAAGAAGATGTAAGTATCAATTACAAAATTATAACACATAAAACCATGATCTCTAAATCTTATATTTTTTACATAGGTTTATAAAACTATTGCTTATCTGCGAGGGGCATTAGAAAAAGAACGGGAAACCACTGCTCTTCTCACGATTCAATCGGAAGAAAGAGTCTTGAGGATAAACAAAAGTATGAGTTCTCCAAGAAAGATTTCGATTTGTCCCAAGATGATGAAACCCTGTAATGGTGTGTTAAAAAAGATTATCGTTATTATTTAAGCAATAGTTAAAAATAAACAATCACAAATAAACGCCGTGGAATCCTCATTGAAATTTATGCTATTGGCATAAATAAATCTTCACAAAGGATAAATCAATGACTTTCACATAAACGAATTCAATCACTTAATTAGAATATACTTACTTCTTATTTAAAATATTTTAAATTGATTAGAAATAATATGTTTTTGCGTAGTTGTAACTTCGTTCAAGATTGAATAAAAATTTAATACATCTGTATGTTTTTGTTTTTACTAATTATTGCATACTTTAACAATTTTGTCACCAACTAACTGAAATATCTAAAAGAAAAAAATAAATATCAAAAAAATTTAAAAAACAAGTCCACCACCAATATTTCTATGACTCAATGATTTTATTATATGAACAAAATACTTAAGTATATAAATATTTTTTAAGTTTAATAGATCATAGGATGAATTACAATTTATAATTCATCACGCGCAAATCAACAATCCGTAAACAAGAAACAAATCTGATTTTTCTTATTTCATCTTACATACAAATAGTAACAACTTAGTAGTAAAATCATGATGTTTCTATACAACTCCATTAGATAAATTATCTCAATCTGCAGCCGATTGCATGCATATATAAAATAGAAAACAATTATATACTATATAGAATAGAATAATTAAAAGCATACAATTTTATTACGCAACGTTTAGAAACAATTTATAAAATATTAGATATACATAAACATATTAATGTGTAACATAGATTAAACTACTAATTCAATGTTCAACAATGTCAAATTTAATTCTGTATATTATTAATTTTTACAATATAAATTAGGCTTGTCATTTTCCCTTTGTTAACATTACAGCTATATAATACATAGGTACTTTGAAACTTGGTCGACTTTAGATAGCAGATCTTAAACATTTTCAATCAATAGTATCAAAAGTAGATTATTCATTAGCCATGTGGTCATTTAAAAACCCAAACTAATAAAATCGAATTGTTCATAAAAATTGATTCAGCACCAAAACAAAATACCTCATTTAACTTCAGAGGTCACATGAATTAAATTCTGTAAGTCAAACCTTAAATAATTGATTCTACATATTTTTCATTTGCACACATTCCTAACTCTGTTAACAAATAAAAATTGCGTTTTATAAAAACGCAATAATAAATATAAATAAATTTAGATTATTTAAATACTATTATTATTTGTTGACGTTTTATGTTAATTATATGTAAGCAAATTTGTAGCCTCTAAAAACTATTATGACTGATTTATTAATCATCTGTTACTTTATTTTTTGTTAAGTGTAGAAATTTGCCTATGGCCATTTTAATCACAATTTATTCGGTTCTGGAAGTATAAATGTTAAACTTTAATATCCAGTACCAAAAGATTTTGATTTATAAATTTTAGGTAGATGTAATTAAAGAATTAATTTCTTTTAAGAAAACTACGATTATTGTGAAAAAGTTTTGAAAGGCTCCTATGGAATCTAGTAGTTACAAAATGGATATTCAAGATGAATTTTTCTAATATATATATAAAACATTAGCAACAAGAAACGCGTAGGTATATTTAGTGTAAAAATATCTTCTTTCATATGTTGCTGTATAATTTCATATATTATAGAAAAAGCTAATATTAAATCTAATTTTCTTTTAATTAAAATCTAAATTTTTCATTTCATTATTTGAATACAACTTCTTGTATTCACTGATGAACTTAGATCCAATCATATGTTTTAATTTGTGCTTTTTGACTATAAAGCTATAGAAAGATACTAAAGCGCGCATCTGAAGCGTATACAATTCCTATAATCACGGTCTGTTAAAAAATTAATAATAGGAAAAATTTATGCTACTGAAAACTACCGCCAGTAGCCTGCAGAGCGCGCTGAATTCGGGGATTTTGGAAAATCACTATTACTATTTTTGTCCAATTATCACAAACACCTTCACAATTTCCATACGCTCGCTCGTAGAGCTTTTCCTGCCAGGGCGATTGACTAGAAACTGAAAACGCCCACTGGACAAAATTTATCTGGACGCATCCGATACCTTTCAGCCATTGCGTGCCAAAAATGAAAAACCAAAGTCACGCGGTTTCGTGGCGAATTCGTTTCTTCCGATTTGAAGAATTCGATCGATTCTAGAATCTTTTTTGTGATTTTCTTGCATTTATTTTTTGTTGTGATTATATTATTGCCAACAGTGCCGCGGCTGTGCGTCACATGTGCTGGTCGTTAATAAAGTCTATTTGATTTATTCCCTTACGACTGTAATGAACCTATGCCTGTGATCATGGCGGCCACAAAGGGCCGTTGTGGATAGGCCGCCGCTACGTCAGCAACTTGAAGAACATTATGGCTAGCGAGATGTTGATGAACAGGACCAGCATGACCAGCTGCTGACGGGAGAACCAGTCCTGAAATTCATACAAAAGTTGCTTTTCTTAACTTCTCGATTCAAGCAATCACAACCAGTACATGATCAAACCGAAGCTTATTCAGAAATAGGCGAACGAATTAGCGTCATAGTAACACATATCTGCAAAACCGTTAGGCGAGATAAATTGATTTTTATTATTTCTTCATTATTGCCAATATAGCTCAAAGATGAAACTTGCATTTCTAGGATTTGTCCAATAAATTCTCTTTAACTCATATTAGCCCGAGGAATAATTTATAGCATTATTATAAATTAATAAAATATTTGTCAAATTTATACAAAAATTAATTAATTTCCTATATTTATAACGTCACATAATAACTATATGACACCAAAAAAAAATTTATATATAAATAATAAAAATAATAATTTGTATATAGGAAAATATAATTTTCCTATTTCCTTAAAATAGTCTAGATTTTTTTTTAAATCTGAGCTAACATGGGTTAAACTAGACAGAAGATATGTTTATTATCAAAATCGAACAGTAATCACAAAAACAAGCACAAAAAATTAAAAATGTATAACATCAAATACCAGCATTGCCTATATTGCAAATATTACACATATTTTAAAAAAAAACAAAGTTTTCATAATAACTTGAAATCAATATATGAAATAGATAATTCAACATATAAAAAAAAAAAATGATTTGACAAAATCCGAAGGCTTAGTATGTAAATTATTTTAAGCATGCCATGGACTAATAAAACGTGCATAAGTTTCAAGCAATTGTGCCAAATACTACACAAAAAATGTTTTTGCTACATTTATAACAAGTATCTGTTTCGAATCGGATCTTTACAAGGATCTTCAACAGAGGCGACGTTTAGGCAAATTATATACAAATAAAGCTTTAGAAAATTATAAAGTAAGAGCCATTTTCGCTACATTCAGATATGAATCAATTTTAAGCGTATTCGAAAGCAATATTAAATGTTAATAATAGAAATAAGTCATATCTATTATGCGAAAGTCTCTTAATTTATTGCCAATGAAATTGAGCTATAATAGTAAACAGTTTTTAGACCAATTATTATAAAATACAATTTAAAACAAATCTACAACTAATTACATGACATACCTATATATCCCTCTGTTGACGGGCGAGGGAGCATTAAAAATCAGTAATATTTCAATTTTGTGCACAGAACAGTACCACAAATTAAAAACAAGGCATAGTACTATATATAAAGCTGTAGAGTAAACTATAATAATTTTGAGATATATAAACAAAATATTAGAAAAACGTTGAATTTGCCTATCAATCACACACTTACATCTTTATGTGTTTGATACGTGTGGGATATTAGTACATGTAGGAAGTTATATTACCTAATGTGTTATATAATATAAAAAGATCAAACTGTGCAAGTTGTTGTTCACTATTACTTAAAGGCAAAATGGTGCTCAAAAATTAAAATGTTAGTATATACATATCAAAGTCATGCGAATTAGTCCTAAATAATCTGCTCAATTATATTCTAAAGGGAAAGCGTATTAATTGTTATTGATATACATTTTAAATTATATAATATCAATTGCTAATTTTTATTGTTTTTTTAGGAATATGTTAGTATATTGTGCAACATTTAGTGCAGTCTATTCAAATTCCAAGACACTAAGGACTTGCATACGGCATCGTGAGAATGGATATATTTATAGGTTTATATTACATTACTATATTATTGCTTATATTATATATATATATATATATATATATATAACCCGTGTCCCAGATCTCAACATCAAGCCGAAACAACGTGATAGTATTGAACATAACTATCAAGAAAAAAATTAGAGAAAGAATTTATCTCGCGTAGTTTGAAAATCACGAGCTTATAAGTACAACCTAGAGCTTAAGTGAAAATGTGACCATTATCGGTTATTATGGTAAATTTTATTTATTTTCTTCTTCATTAAACTTTAAATCCCTAATCGTAAATAACATTTTTAGGATCACAGCGAAAAATAATGACATAATTGCCACGAGTTTTTTAAGAATTAAGACTTTTCGTTGAACTATGAATTTAAAATTTTCAAAATTGGTCAACCTTGAGAAGCTTTCCTTTGAATAAATGCTCTGAAGTATTTGGAAAAAGTTTACAAAAATCAGGATAGTAATGTGGTAAAATACTCAATTGTTTCACGATAAAAAAATCGAATAAAAAA